GTGGTGTTAGAGAGTCCCTTGGACAGCAAGGAGATCAAACCAGTCAATCCTAAAGGAAATCAACCCTGAATACTCACTGGAAGGACTGATGCTGAAGTTGAAGCTTCAAACCTTTGGCCACCTGATGCAAAGAGCCGACTCACTGGAAAGACCCTGATGCTGGGAAAGATTGAAGGCAAAAGGAGAAGAGGGTGACAGAGGACAAGATGGTTGGATGGCATCACAGACTCAATGGACAGGACCTTGGGTGAACTCTGGGAGATAATGGAGGACAGGGAGGCCTGGCATGCTGCAGTCCATGGGGTTGTGAAGAGTCAGACACGACTGAGCAACTGAATAACAACCATCTTCCCAACTTCTCAGCCACCAGAACTGCAAGAAATAAATGTCCCAGCCTATGGTATTTTGTTAAAGCAGCCTGAACTAAAACACTGTACAAATACATTATTATACTTATTAGCGGTTTATCTTTTTGTGTGACTCTCTACCTGTCCTCTTTGACTCTCTTGCACTAATTAGAATTGACTGATGGCAGTGTGCCAAGTGCTAAGCATTTCACAAGCATCAATTTATTTAAGCTTCACAACTCAATAATGTATTTATTTAGATACAGGCCAGATGTATATGAAATGTAGATGTAATTATATATCTGTCTGTATCTATGTAAATACTGCATCTACAACCATCTGTATCATCTGGATATGAAAGTGAAAAGTGAAATTGTGAGTCGCTCAGTCATATATGACTCTGTGATCCCATGGACTGTAGCCTGCCAGGAGACCTGGGTTTGATCCCTGGGTTGGGAAGATCCCCTGGAGAAGGGAAAGGCTACCCACTTCAGTATTCTGGCCTGGAGATTTCCATGGACTGTACATCCATGGGGTCACACAGAGTTGGACAAAACTGAGCGACTTTCACTTTCAAGTTATCTGTCACATTTGTTTCTTAATCTTCTGGGTCTAGGTCTTCATCAATCTTTTACTATGAAGTTGGGAGAAGTCACATCAAGGCAGAAAGCCAGATCCCCTTTCAAATCCAGAATCCTACAAATAAATCTGATCTAGGAGATTGATTGATATGTGGTGGACAGAAAATGAACCACTGCCAAAAAGACTACAGCCCAGGAGAGAATTGCAGTGTTTCCCAGTCTTTATACTCTGTGATGCCTGTAGACTTCATCAGGATTTCTTCCAGTGATCACAGAGCGTTAATGTAGCAAAGCCTCCAAGTGGAAATGCTGCGGCAGAACATAAGAATATTTTTAAATAGTTTTATAGTTTCTATTATATGCATCGATTGCCCTCCAGAAATGTGATTTGCAACCTTATCCATAAAATTTAAGCAATAATTTTAAAAGTACTCATTTGAGAGGCAAAATTGTATTCCATTATTTTAACTTGCATTTCTTTGAATATTAAAGAGGAAACATTTTTAACATGTTTATTAACCACTTTTACTGCTTGTTTTTTAAATGACCTGCTCATGTCCTTTACTTAACAGGCCATTCAAAAAATAATGTGTACAATTAAAGGACGCAGTTTCATGGAACAGATCATTTCTCTGTGTTTTTTAAAGAAAGGCACTAAACAAAAGTATTATTGTCACTATCAGGTATTGTAACTTGGAGAATGACAAGTACAAATACAATTTATCTAATATTTTAAAGCAAAGGTTTTTACTTATGTTCTGGGAGTACTGTCAGGGGTAATTCCCCAAGTCTCAGCAGGAAACTGATAGTAAACCCTTTTCCTTGTGGGTTGTTACCACCATCCCTCACCTCCAAACTTTATGTCCAGCTCTTAGCAACTGATGTTCCTCATTTATTACTTCAATTGAATGCTACATTTCTAGATTGTTTTCCTGGGATCACTTATAGGTCAGAAGAAATTTAGATAAAGAGGTTAAAAACAACCACATTTTTCTATGCTGCACAATATGGCTAGAAAAAAATCCAGCCTTAGAGCATCCTTAGAGTTGTCATTGAATGTTGTATGAGTTTCACAAAAATCTTATTTCAACATTTATACAATTCTACCAGGAAATTTCAGGAATTCCTTTCATCTTCTAAAGTGCTTTGGGGTCCATGACAATGTTATTATTTCTCCTTGGCATATACACCACTCCCCTTGTAAATATCTGCTTTGTAGCTACATGCAAGCAGTTGAGCAGAGGTACCTGACTGTTGGAACAAGTCATCAAGAGGACATGACTACCACTTGACACATTAACTGTATCTGGACAATCAGAAGCCCTCACCCCCTCCCAGGTCTTGGAATGTACATTCTGCCCAGCGTTTCCATAGCTAGAGCCATTTTCAAGGACACAACTTTGGGAGATCAATGGACTGCTGAGACCATCTGAACATTGAACCCAACTAAGGCCTCTATTTTTTTTTTTTTAATTTTTAAAAAATTTTGGTCACACCCTACAGCACGTGGGATCTTAGTTCTTTGACCAGGGATGGAACCCATGCTCCCTGCACTGGAAGCATGGAGTCTTTTTTTTCCCTCCATTTATTTTTATTAGTTGGAGGCTAATTACTTTACAATATTGTAGTGGGTTTTGCCATACATTGACATGAATCAGCCATGGATTTACATGTGTTCCCCATCCCGATTCCCCCTCCCACCTCCCTCCCCATCCCATCCCTCTGGGTCTTCCCAGTGCACCAGCCCTGAGCACTTGTCTCATGCATCCAACCTGGGCTGGTGATCTGTTTCACTCTTGATAGTATACTTGTTTCAATGCTATTCTCTCAGAACATCCCACCCTCGCCTTCTCCCACAGAGTCCGAAAGTCTATTCTGTACATCTGCGTCTCTTTTTCTGATTTGCATATAGGGTTATCGTTACCATCTTTTAAAATTCCATATATATGTGTTAGTATACTGTATTGGTCTTTATCTTTCCGGCTTACTTCACTCTGTATAATGGGCTCCAGTTTCATCCATCTCGTTAGAACTGATTCAAATGAATTCTTTTTGATGGCTGAGTAATATTCCATGGTGTATATGTACCGTAGCTTCCTTATCCATTCGTCTGCTGATGGGCATCTAGGTTGGGAAGCATGGAGTCTTAACCACTGGACAACCAGGGAAGTCCCTCTATATCAACTTTTAAGATACTAGCGGGCAAGTGCAGAGATTACTTCCTATGGCCACCCAAGTCAAGCTTCATTTGGAAGGTCCTTTGCTAATTAAACTGGCCACCTACCAAACTGGAGTGGTCTGCCTCTCTTTGGTTTCTCACCCTCCATGTTCATGGGCCAGTTTCAGATTTCACCTAGAGAGCTCCTAAGGTTTTGAACCAACACAGATACACCTTTATTTCATATCCATGATTTTTTTAAAATTTCTGCCCAAAGTTTTATGCAGTACAAATAATAAAAGGAAAATTGCCCGTGATTTTTATTTGAATTACACTTAAAAAGAAAGAAAAATATTTAACACCTTACAACCTCTAGCTACTGCCCTTGGGGTAGTTTCTCACTGATGAATTTCTAGAGAACATAACAGTTTGACTGTAGAAAGTCTTGGCAGAGATATTGAGGATTTGGGTCAGTCCAAGATCTGCCCATTAGGGTGAAACAGGAAGAGTGAACATTAGTGCTCAGGTACAGTTTTTAGGCAGAGTAGACTAATAATAATGATAAGAGGAGCCTCAGATCTCCCAAGGGGATATTAATGGGAAGGCAGAGCAAGGAACTTGGAATGGAATCAATGCTGAAGGCTCAACTTTATGACCCAGGGGCCACTAACAGCACAAAATGAACCTCAGAGAGTAGCGGTATGCACTGATCAATGCTGAACTCATAAACTCCACGTTGAGTTGGCAGCTGGGTGACCTGTATGGCCAACCAGAGATCCGTAAGTACAGAGTAATATCAAAATTTCCTTGAAATAGCTTAAGCTCTACCTGCTTCTGTCTATGGTTCTATAACTAGAGCAGAAAAGAGCCTAAAGCCTGAAGAAGCCTGTGTTTGTGAGGGGCACAGGAGATCAGACTCAGCAGTGAGATGGAATGGGCAATTTTCCAAGCCAGGTTTCCTGTGTCCCTGCTCCATTCATACTCTCCGTGCAGTACCCAGACAGTTCCTGCGCTGATGGGAAAGTTCTTTGATTCTCTAAGCTCATGGATATATAGAATTCAAAGAGGCAGTCTTTTCTTCCTTTAAAAATTAGGTACAATAAAAACCATTTTGGAAAACAATTTGGCAATTTCTTATCATCTTAAACATATGCTTATTATAAGACCTGGCAATTCCACATCTATGTATTTAGTTAATAAGGTAGCTGTTATCACTCCAGTTTTATAAACAAGTAACCTTACAAGGCTGCATGTAGGGTAAGCGACTTGCCCAGAGTCACAGGGCTAATGAGTTGTGGGAGCTGAAATTGACATTCCGTGTTATACCCCCTTTTCCCCACCAAACCTGGCATTTCATTATATCATGGCATCTCTTGGGAAAAAAAAAAAAAGAAATATTTTACCCCAAGTTTAGCTTAGGAAGGTAAAAATTGAAACATCTTTTTAAAAATAATTATTCATTATTGTGAAAACTGTATTTTTGTAAATATTTAAGTGATTTTAACAATATCATTCATGTGTTTCTTGTTTTATTAAAATACTTTCATATTTAATATGCCAAATCAATTGCCTATAGTGTTAACTTCATATAAATGGATGCTGTATGATTATTACTAAAACATTTTACTAGACCCTTTATGAAAACCAAATTCTTATCTCAAGACCAGTTTCTGAACGAATGAAACATGCCCATCTGGTTAGATGTCACGAGTTATAGAAGAATTTTTTTGTTGTTGTTAACAAGACTTTTTTTTTCCTGGAAAACAATTTTACATTCATTTCCAATTTGTTTACCAGCACAGAATTATAAGCCTGTCAAACTGACATTTGGTAACTTCTCTTTTCTGTAGATAAACGTTAGATAACGTCTCCCTGGACCCCCTCACCCACCGCGCATGCCCCGCCCACCGCGCACGCCCCGCCCGCCGCGGGGCCGCGCCCTCCGCCGCAAAGAGCGAGTGACCGTGAGCAACGGCTTCCTCTCTTCCACTCAGGAGAAAGCGCTATGCTTCTAGCCTGACCCCATCGAGGCGCGAGTGCTCTGCGAGGCCAAGACTGTCGATGTTTTTGTTGGGAAAGACGAAAAGCGCAGAAAGATCCCAGAATATCTGATCCACTTTAATGGCTGGAACAGAAGTTGGGATAGATGAGCAGCTGAGGATCATGTCCTTCGTGACGCCGATGAAAATCGGAGATCACAGCGGAAATTGGCTAAAAAGGCTGTAGCTCGCCTGAGAGGCACAGGAAGAAAGAGGAAGAGCGCCCGGTTGCCTGGGGTGGACTCTGTCTTAAAAAGCCTCCCTGCTGACGAGAAAGATGAAAACTCAATAAGCAGTTCCTCTGACAGTGAAGAAAAGGACGGATAAGTAAGTGAAGGAAAAGATATTGAAGAAAAGTCTGAAGTGAAGGAAGGACCAGGGCTGCACGCAAAAAAAGGAAATGGAAGAAAGAACAGTAACTATAGAAATCCCTGAAGTTCTGAAGAAGAAGCTTGAGGATGATTGTTACTGTATCAACAGGAGGAAACGGTTAGTCAAAGTTCCATGTGAGACCAACATCATAACTATTTTGGAATCGTACGTGAAGCACTTTGCTAACAATGCAGCCTTTTCAGCCAGTGAGAGACCTCGTCACCATCATGCTATGCCACACGCCAACATGAATGTGCATGATATCCCAGCAGAAAAGAACGTTGACCTTTGTAAGGAGATGGTGGATGGATTAAGACTAACCTTTGATTACACTCTTCCATTGGTTTTGCTCTATCCATATGAACAAGTTCAGTATAAAAAGGTGACTTCGTCCAAATTTTTTCTTCCGATTACGGAAAGTCCCACAAACACTAACAGGAACCAGGAGGAGCTCTCTCCAAGCCCACCTTTATTGAATCCATCCACACCACAGTCCACAGAGAGTCAGCCAACCTCAGATGAACCAACCACCCCCAAAAGGCGCAAAGGCGAGCCGGAAGCCTTGCAGTCTCTGAGGCGGTCCACGCGCCGTTCTGCCAATTGCGACAGGCTGTCCGAGAGCAGCGCCTCGCCTCAGCCCCAGCGCCGGCAGCAGGACATGTCCGCCCGCATGCCCAAGTTGTTCTTGGACCTGGAAAAGAAGACATCTGTTCATAGCAGATCATCCTCGCCTGTTCCTCTGACCCCTAGCAAGGAAAGGAGTGTGGTGTTTGCTGGCTTCGAAGGCAGAAGAACCAAAGAAATAAATGAGGTCCTCTCCTGGAAACTTGTACCGGGGAGTTATCCTCCAGGTGACCAACCTCCTCCACCCTCTTACATTTATGGGGCGCAACATTTGCTGCGTTTGTTTGTGAAACTTCCTGAAATCCTTGGAAAGATGTCCTTTTCTGAGAAGAACCTGAAGGCTTTACTGAAGCACTTTGATCTCTTTCTGAGGTTTTTAGCCGAGTACCATGATGACTTCTTCCCAGAGTCTGCCTATGTTGCTGCCTGTGAAGTGCAGAACAGCAGGAAGAACCCCAGGGCGATTTGATGGTCCTAGAAGAACAGCTTCTTTTTCTATCTCTTGGTTCCCAGTAAAGAACTAGGGAGTCAGTGGACCTTCTTTACACAGAGAGCAAATGTGACACCCTGGGGGCTCTGGCAGAGGCGGTCCATTTGTTTGAATTGCTTAGCTACTGGAGTTATTTCCGTTAAGGATTACCTCTTTGGTGCCCTGATGGCCTCCAGCATCTAACCCTTGCCACCATACATGTGATCTATGATGGCAGGAAAACAGCAACTATGTTCAAAATGAATCATTCATAAACATGTGCTTAGGTTGCGCTGTTTCAATAGACAAAGGTACTTGTTAGCAGTGACCATGTCTTTTAGTTATTTGTTAGCATTAAACAAAATCGTTTGGCAAACTTTTCATTCTTGTGATGAGGCTGAGCACCTCTGTCCCACAGATTTTTAGTTTTGCTTGGAAACTGCAAAGTAGTCCCCAAATATTTTAGAGGGAATTGATATTGCTGGCAAAAGAAAATTTGCAGCTATACATTTGCTTGTTACAGTTCTTTTTCTATAAAACCTTGTTGTTGGTGATCTAAATAAAGCATTGCCTGAATGTCTTAAGATTTTGTAGCTACACTTGATTGTGTAATATTACAGTTCCTTTTCTGTAAACTGTTACTTTTGGCCATTTCAAATAAATCATTGCCCATCTTACTGGAAAGGAAAAAAAGAAAGAAAATGTCTCTCTGATTAGAGAATAAAAAAATTACTAAAGCTAGGTTCTACAAATGTATAATACTATGCTTGCAAATAAATTGGAAATGAATATAAAGTTGCTTTCAAGGGGAAAAAACAAAGCAGTTATACACTTTGATTAGTATAAATAGCCCAGAATTTTACCTCTAATTTAAAATAGAACCACACAGTGTTTGAGAGGGCTGACAGTAAATCAGAATAAAAATCATGATTGCACCAAAGAAACTTTTTACCTCCTCTGTGATAACAACTGATTAGAATCCAAAGAGCATAGCTGAGAACAGGTATCTCTGTAATGTACTGCTGGCATTACTCTGGTTTGAGAGGAAGTAGCTATTACTGAATTTTATTGAAACAGAAATAACTTCACTGGAATAAAGTGTCTTATTTATATGTGAATCATTATTTTTAGTGAGTGAAGCTCTGTCAACAAAAAGAGTCAAAAAAATTAGACAAATGAAGAAAAACTACCAAAATTTATAGAATCATAGATTAGGCTCTGTATAGAACTTCCACAATCTTAATTTAGCAATAAATGCTTGCGGTGAATTGACAGCAGTCCTTAAATAAGTAGACTACTTTCTTCCTGTATTTTTCCACGTCTTCATGAAATTCTTGTGCTTTTATGAAGAGGTCATTATATTTTCAGCATGTATACTTAAAATTTTTTACTCGTTATAGTATTTATTTGTATGAAAGTTCTGGGTTAATCAAATAAAAATATTTGTTAAATGCTTTTAAATCCACAGAGCAGTGCAAACTAGGAAAACACCCACATTGTCAGATGCCCTGTGAATTCAGTGCCTCCTGGGAACTCTTGAATGGCATGGCCACTCAGTTGGTTTGATAACTTAATAAACAAAAATAGATCTGAATTCTGTTAAGAGCCCAAGTCAGCCTCAGGCACTGAGGAAGGATACCAGCTCTGCCTATGAGATAAAACATCACTGAATAACTGAGCTTCTTCTTCATTTTAATCTCAATTCCTGCTTCCATGTGTACACAGAGCCAATTAAAAAAAAGAGAGACATGAGTTCTCAAGTTCCTGAGGAAAGAGGGAAGTATGAGGTGCTGAAGGCAATCATCTATCAAATGTCCCTTAGATACTTAAAAGAGGCATTTTCCATTAAAGGGGTGGAAATGGGAGCACATAATAGAGAAAGATGGAAGTGGGACTGGTTACCACAGAGAAGACAGCTCATATATGAATATGACCAAGGCATCTGCTAAGTATGAATCAAGAAATAAAACCTATGTTACTGAGTGGAACCTAGATTTTAATAGATGATTTAGATGAGTGTTTTCTTTTTTCTTATTCTTACTTAATTGCCTGTGTGGGCTGGGGAGCAAGTTCAAAAATAATAGCTAAAACCCTGCGGGTCACTGTACACGAGCTTCTGCTGGTCAATTCTTGTGGTGACATGAAATTTCAACTTCAAACAAGGACAAGTTTTACAAAAATATTTAGTCTCCAATCGAACAAAGCCTATCTGATGAAAATCACATATTTGCCAGTTCTAATTTTATTTGTATGTACAAACTATGTTAAAGTGCAACAGCAGGTGTTTGGATTTAAGAACGAACTTGTCTAAAATAATAAGGATAATAACATTTCTTCCCAAGCTTGCCTGGTTGGTTTTCTTTGTAATACTTTTTTAGAGTGCTTATTTACATTAAATAGCATAGCATTTCAAGAAATACCATGTAATGGTGTATTATTTTGGCAAAAATGCAAGCATTACTGACTAAAAAACATAAAACAACATGGTGAATTTAGCATGCTGTTACAATGTGTGATATGGAAATGGAGACATTAATAATTCCTTTTTTGGAATTATTAACACCTAAATATCCTGTTAGATTCTCCCAGGCTCTGTACGAAGTGGGCTACCTCCAGGTCACTAGATGAGTATTTGTTATATATGTGGAGGAAAGAAGCCCTAAACACTATTGGGCTTCACAGAGAGCTGGAAAACACACACACACACAGAGTCCTAGCTTCTAAACCATGCTCCGGATTCAGCTTCCCTCTCGGTTTCTCCCTCTGTTGTCTCAGCGCACACACACACACACACTCGGCACCATCCAACATGGAGCTGAGTCTTATTAGACTGAGTCCTCAAACCAGACCACCTCATTGGCTAATGGGCTCTGCTTCTCACCTATGTGGAAAGTTGCTTTGGGCACAGAGAAAAACTGGATCAATCAGTAAGGGTCATGAAAAGCAAGTCAGATGACAAGAAACTTCTTCAATTTCTTCAACTATGGCTAAAAGTGGTAGCAGTTTGTCCCTAGAGTGCCATGGCCTTGTCTCATAGTTCAGTTATGCAAAGAACTGTTATGGAGGACACAAAAGTAAGGAGTCTCTACCTTCCTAGGGAAAGAAAGTGAAAGTCACTCTGGTCATGTCCGACTTTGTGTGACCCCATCGACTGTACAGTCCATGGAATTCTCCAGGCCAGGATACTGGAGTGGGTAAACTTTCCCTTCTCCAGGGGAATCTTCCCAACCCAGGGATCGAACCCAGGTCTCTGCATTGCAGGCGGATTCTTTACCAGCTGAGCCACAAAAGAAGCCCACCTTCCTAGCAAGAAACTTCCTAGGGAAGTTTCGAACTATTAATAATCTGTTTTTAGGTGGGATTTCATGTAATTGTCTCACAGGAGTTTTGAGTTCTCCTTCTGCCTTAACTTAGAGAAACTCCCTCCCTCAGCTATTCAGCATGTTAAATGTGAAATGCTTTAAAATTAGGTGCTTTATTTAAACTTTCTTGATTATCACAGCAGGGATATATCACTTTACAAAGAAGACTGCATCAAGGTTACATTTTAAAAATGAATAAAAGGTTTTTGTAACTAATTCTCTAAAATTAAAAAAGTGAAAAACAAATCTTTCTAAATTCACTTAAACCACATTCTTCCAATCAGCAAAGTAGTCATGATGGTAATTGAATAAACATTTTCAATCAGAGAATGTTTACCTCTATCAACAAAATGGATGTTTAACAGTCTTTTTTCATATCTTGGGCTTCCCAGGTGGCACTGGTGGTAAAGAACCTGCCTGCCAGTGCAGGAGACCTAAGAGAAGTGGATTTGATCCCTTAGTTGGTAAGATCTCCTGGAGGAGGGCATGGCAACCCACTCCAGTATTCTTGCCTGGAGAATCCTATGGACAGAGAAAACTGTTGGCTACAGTCCATAGCGTCTCAAAGAGTCGGACACAACTGAGTGACTAACAGAAGTGACAACACATTCACATGTTATGGTTGTTTTCTAATCCATTGCCACCACTGAGCTGTAAGCTCCTTGAGGCTGGGAGTAATGTCTTTCATTTCTGCAGCAGCAGGACCTAGTCAAGACCTAGTTTCAGATATGTTTGTTGATTGAATTAGTGAAGGTATTGCCTGGATTTCATTAAAAAATGCATGTCTTTTCAGTTCTAAATAGTAATCAACATGTAGTTAAGCCATTTGATTTCAAAAGCATGCTAAATCAAAAGTAACCTTCAAAGGAGCGATCAGCGGGTACAGAAAGTAGACTGTAGAGGATGAGGTGAGGTTAGGATGAGGGAACAATGAATGCAGTATGTGCCTTCTCAAATTCCATAACAGAAGGAAGAAAAAGGAGAGGATCATAGCACTAGGGAAGGTTGAGAGAGAAGACTGTGTGACTGGAACTTCAACAAACCAGCATGTTGAAAGCAAAGAGTAAATACAACAGAAGTTAAAGGTACAGGGAAAATAAAGGCTACTTTTGGAGAAAGATTCAGCAGGAGACAGGAGAGGAAAGGATCAAGAATAAGAGAGGAGAGGGGGAGAGGAATTGGAAGACTGGCATTGACACATATACACCGCTGACCCATAGAAGCGGATGACCAACGAGAACATCCTGTATAGCACAGGGAACCCTGCTTCAAGCTCTGTGGGGGCCTGAACAGGAAGGAAGCCCAAAAGGGAGGGGCCATGAGTACAGGTAGGACTCATTCATTCTGCTGTCCAGCAGGAACTGACACAACTGTGCAGCAAAAATTAATTTGAAAACAATAGAAGAGGAGGGAGGAGATTATCTTAGAGAGGAGAAGACACTCTTCCTTTCAGGATGAGGCTGACAGGAATACAGATGAATTGAGAACAGAATTCAGCTGGTTCACACATGGACCTAAAATATTATATAAATGTAAATAGATGATACAGTAATACTGAGTACTCTGAGGAGCCATGAAATGTCACATGAACTGTAAATCTAACATTTTCATGGATTCTGGGTTCACCTTATTCTAAAAATGGTATTTTGTTGCTGCCGTGAAAAAAATAAAACTCTTCATTCATACACACGTGCATGTTGTTCTGGAACAACAACTTTTAGTTTGCAGTTTTTCAAATTAAGTGTTATAGCAAAAATCAGTGCCAAAATTAAAACTTGCAAAACTCATTTATGATTATTTAAGCATAAAAATTTTTAAATCATCAGTTTATTCACATATTGCTTCATGAGTTAATATACTAAAAAAAAAGTTTCTATTATGGCTTCCCTGGAGGCTCAGTGGTAAAGAATCCACCTGCCAATGCAGGAGACGTGGGTTTGATCCCTGAGTCAGGAAGATCCCCTGGAAAAGGAAATGTATTCCTTGTATTCCAGTATTCTTGTCTGAAAAATCTCATGGGACAGAGGAACCTGGCAGGCTACAGTCCATGGGGTTGCAAAGAGTCAGACATGACTTAAGAGACTAAACAACAATATATACAACTTAGGTTTTCTCTGGTTAATTAAACTTAGTTGAAAGCAAAGCAAGAACAAAAGAGAAAGTGTTTTAGAATCACCCAGCTGTTGGTAATTTTCCCAGTGAACCTGAATACACACACACAC